TTTAGAAATTCTTGAAATTCTTGTAGTGAAATTTGTATTGAATTCTTGAATTCTTCAAGAATTGTATCAATGTTTTTGAAATTAATTGAATTCTTTGGATCGAATGTTATTAAATTTTTTTTAAATAATTACATTCTATCGCATGACATTTTATTGAAATTGTATTTAAAATAATTGAATTCCTCTGAAGAAATTTATTATTTATGAAAATATATAATTCAATTCTTGACAAGAATTTGATTAAAATTTTTGAATATAATTTTGTTACTTATAAAAATAATTTAATTCTTGCTAAAAATTTTATTATTTATAAAAATAATTGAATTTTTACGAAGAATTTTATTATTTATGAAAATAATTGATGAATTCTTGCGAGGAATTTTTTACTAAAATTTGTGATTGTAATTGAATTGTTTCGAAGAATTTGATTAATATTTAATAAATAATAATTGAATGTATAAGTTCATGTTATAGAAATTGTATCATTTATTGTCTATATGATTTTTGGTAAACTCATAAAATTTTGCAAGGAAGATTTTAAAACAATTTCTCTCTTGTGAAACAATTAAATTTTCTAAAATATGAATTAGTCTCTAATGTTTGCATTTAAAGAAAAAGAAGATTTACAACGAGAATAATAAAATGCGGTCTATAAATTTGAAAAGAAGAAAGTATCCGCACAGAAGGCAGTTTAGAAGAAATATTTTTCCAGCTTCTGCTAATATTGTAGTAAATAAAATATGCGGGGGATATACACCACAGGAAAGAAAGAGAGAGAAAAGGAGAGATAGATATTTATGTCGACTCATCTATTTATTACAAGAAGTTAGTAAATATAATATAAATACGGTTTAGTAATAATTGTTATCGCCCACCAAAATATATAAAAGCAGATCGCATCATGAATTCGCTAGGGTATTTACCGCATCCCTTTTTTCTCTCCAGTAATGACATATATGATCTATGGGACAAATTGTTGGCCACACCATGCAGTTTCACGTACTAATACCCCACATAATATACCGAGGTGACCCCGCTCGTTAAAAGCTTCCGCGAGGGCGTATAAAGCCATTGTGATTGCCATTTACTATGGGCACGATCTAAATCCCCCTTTTCAAATGCGACCTGTCACAAAAATTATATCGAAAGTCAAATATTAAAACTGATTCAATTGAGAAACAGTATGCTCCAAGAATCGAGAGAAATATTAGAATTTAATAAATTGTTCGCCAAACTCATCATTACATGTGGTTTATACCAAGAATCATTCTATTATAGGGAATATTTTCTATTGTTTGCAAATAAGACACACCACGTGTTTGATAAATTTATTTTAATTTATTATTCCTTTTAAAAAGACGTGGCAATTATATTTCTCTATTTACACGGGGAACTTTTAATTAATAATATTTATTTTTTGAAACATTTTTTTATATTAATTTATTTTTCAATATATTTTAATTAAATTAATTATAAATGATTATAAAGATTAAAATGTATACGGATGTATTGAATGAGGAATTTTTGTATTAAGTCCGTTATTCGTAATATTTAATTACTGACGTATTTTATTTGAAATTGTGAAATTTTGTTAAATCAAATATGTTAAAATTGCTCTTTTAATAATCGGCAAATTCTACCTAATTTTTGCTTGCAAATTTTTTTAAATTTAATCTTTAAAAAAAACAGTTTTTGTATTTTAGTCTAAACAGTCAATTTTTTACAATTTTTCTAATATTTCACTGATTCTAATAATTTTTTACCTCTTTTCATGACACGATTAATTTTCGGATGTAGTATAAATAGTTAAATAAATAAAAAATAGTTAAAATTAAAAATAAAAAGAAATTTTTTACCTAAAATCTTCACTCGAATTGATTCAAAATTCTATTTAGTTTAAATTCTCATCTACTTTCAAAATATTATTTCTGTAAATTTTAATTTATTCAAAATTTAGTTAATAAAAATTTGAATTTATCCAAATTTCAATTCGACTAATTTTCAATTTAGAAAAATTTTAATTTATTTAAATTTCAATTTGTCAAAAGTTTTATTTATCAAAATTTCAATTTATCGAAATAATTTTGATAAATTAATTATTTAATTATAATTTTAATATTTTTAATATTAAAATATTTAATTAATATCTAAATATTTTTAATATTAAATACCTATTTAATTATTATTTAAATATTTTTAATATTGAATTTCAATATGAAATTAGAAAATAAAAAATTATATTGAAACAGTTTCATATAATCGTCATAATTTGGAGACAATTTTTCTGTGAGATTCTACAAATTGTTGATATGAAGATTTTCAAGTTTAAGCAAACATGTACTTGAGATTTTCAACATTCTTATTGCAGTGACAATTGTTACTAATATTTGCAATTCTTTATCAAACTATCTTATCAGTAACTATAAAATCAAAACCAGTTTATAAACTGCATTTTCTGTCAATTCATCTACATAAATATATAGTACAGGCACCTTTTGTATAATGCAATTAAATTTTTGAAAATTGTATTACAGTACAGAATATTTAAAAAAAAAATTTTATTATTATATAATTATGTTAAATATATTCAAAGACAACATAAAATACAAAATCATAACAGAAAAACACAATTATTATGCCAAATTTAATTGCGAGATCAAATTTTTTATGACTTTTTTTTACTCTCAAGTTTTCTCTGACTATAATTTTGTATCTTTTACGTATTTTTTTGGAATTTGCATTTTATAAGATCTGAATAATTTATATTTCATATAATTATTCAAATTTAACAATAGAAAAATATTAAATTATCTTTAGAAATAATATTCTTCTCAAAAATTCAATTATTTTCAAAAATTTTAATAAAATTCTTTGCTAGAATTCAATTATTTTTTATAAACAATAAAATTCTTTGTAAGAATTCAATTATTTTCTAATTTTTTTACAAAATTTTTTGCAAGAATTCAATTATTTTCAAATTTTTTTAGAAAATTCTTTGCAAGATTTCAATTATTTTCATAAATAACAAATTTCTACGATGGAATTCACTTTGAAAATTTTTTTCGAATATTCTTTACAATAATACAATTATTCTCATAAATAACAAAATTCTTCGAAGTGATTCAATTGTATTTAAATTTGTTGATGATATTTTTCGCAAACATTCCATTATTTACATAAAATACTACAAATTTCACAAGAATTCGATTATTTTTATAAATAATAAAATTTTTAGGGATTCAATTCTTTTCATAAATATTAAAAAAAAAACATTGCAGAATTTCAATTATTTTTAATACAATTTTAATCGAGTTCCTCGAAAAATATAATTATTCTTACAAAATTTTATTAAAATTCGTCCAAAGAATTCACTTATTTAAAAATTTTGTTCATAAAATACTTTATGAGAATTCAATTTTAAGAAACATTCCATTATTCTAACATATATATTTAATTTTCTAAAAAAAATTAGAAAATAATTGAATTCCAACGAAGAAATTTATTATTTATAAAAATAATTGAATTCTTACAAAGAATTTTATTATTCATAAAAAAAATAATTGAATTCTAGCAAAGAATTTTATTAAAATTTTTGAAAATAATTGAATTTTGAAGAAGAATATTACTTCTATAAAGATAATTGAAATTTTGACGAGAATTTTTTTTTATTTTTGGAACATAATTGTATTTCTGCGAAGAATTTGATTACTTTTGAAAATAATTGAGTTTTTCAAATTACGTACTTTGCGGACTTTTTAAAAAAAAATTACTTTTACGGACTTCAAGCTCTGCTTTTTTCGACTATTCTCAGAAAGGGCGACTTTTTTGGACTTATTTTCAAAAAATGGGATTTTTTCGACTTTTCTTTTAAATATTGCAACAAACTATCTTTTTTTTGCGTATAAACTGCAAAAAGAAAAAGAAAAGTATTTACAATCTTAAAATTATAAATTAAATTCTCTAAAAAGTAGAACTTATTTTTATTTTTCTTCTTAATTTTTTTGCACTCAATATTATGTCCAAAAAGAATTATTATTATCACTCGATTCAGAACAATATTCCAGAATATTGTTACAATATTCTAGAATCGATTTCAATTCTCAAATTTATTTAAAGAAGTAACAATATTCTTATAATATAAAATAATTATTTTATCACTGGGCCATTTTTAATTATTATAAAACATGAAGAAATGGATCATTTCGAGTCGAAGACTCGGAGTGATTCATTTCTTCATGTTTTATAGTTATGAAAAATTTTAATTTATAGTTTTAAGTAAAATATTTTCTTATTTGACTCGGACTATGGTTATATATTTTCGTTAGTATAATTGGTTCCTAATTTTTCAGTTTTGGTCCCTAAAGTCTGTATTTTCAAATACTTTCACTGGTTCGAGCCCTGCAGTTCCGAAAACAAAATCCAAAAAGTCTAACTGTCCAAGGCCTGTAATCACAAAAATTTAATATCTCCTCTCGCCCTTTCGGTGAAATCAGTTATTCTTTCGGTTTGTCGAAGTATAAAAAAGCACGTTTCAAGTTTGGAAGAAAAAAAAAGAAAAAGAAAAATAGTTTCTCAATCTTTTACAATCTGTACGTATATGTATACGTGTACTTTCTCTCTTTCTCTCTCTTGGCTCAATTTCTCGTTGACAGTTTCTAAGCGGTCGCCTTTGTCGACACGACCGGAACCATTGTACACCTACATTCTCTTATCGTCTCGCGTTCAAAGCAAAGCAGCCCCCAGAGTGCTACAATTTCATCCTCTCTCCCTTATATAGAGAGAGAGAGAGAGAGAGAGATCCTTTATCTATCTTGCTATTTTCCTAGCTCTGCCACCCCTACCGTCACTCGGGATTAATCTCCCGCAAAGCCTTTCACAAGGGTGGCTGACACCCTCCCCCACATTCTCAAAAAGTGGGGAGAAAAGTCTCCGCCCCACGTTCCGCCCCCGAACGAAGGAGGCTTTCAAATCAATTCGCGAATACCCTTCCAGTCATAGAGGTACGTTTACAGTTAACTCATCATCAATAGTAATACGGATTTCCTCATTCCTGACAATTGTGTTCACTATTTTTGGAATTTCACCGTGATTTTCATTTTACTCACGAAAAAAAGTGTTTTCTTTTTTTTTTCATTTTTTACTAATGTCTCAATATTGGTGCTTGTGTTGCAAAATAACAAGATGAAATTGATTAGAAAAAAATGTCCAATTGTGAGAAATCGTAAACTTGAGATTCAAAAAGTGAACCAGAGTAACGTGCAACGTGACAATATAAAGTTTTTCCCCCCGGGGCGGTGCAAGGGGGAGAAAAAAAAAAGAATTTCTTATCACTAAGGAAACAAACTATTAACCTAAGAGAGAGAGATGATAGCGTAGAGATAACATTGACAACATTAACAGTCGTATTAGGGTCTATCGAGGGAAAATGACGAGTATTCCTTGAGCTCTTAATGAACTTTTTTTTTTTTTCTGTGAAGAAGAGGAATCTGTGATTCTGTGAAGATTCTTTAAGGAAGAAAAAAAAAAAGAAGTTTGAAAAAAAAGTGTACGGCCTCGAAATGTTAAATTCGAGTCAAGTGCAAAACCCCGGTCTACTGACACCAGTGGTGAATTCTCCGAATAATCATCGTTACGCATCAATGCTGAATATGGAGATGAACATGATGTCAAACGCATCGTGCGATGGTTGTATGGACAGTGATCGTGATTCGGACAGCAGTAGCATGATTGTCGATCCAGTGAGTCTCGATAAACAGGATTTATCACCGGAACCATCGACAAGTCCCATAACACCATCAACAGTCTCTGCTTCATCAAGAAATCGTAATAATAAAAATTACAAGAAAAACTATTCAATGTCAACGAATTCAAAGAATCATCATCATCATAATAATAATCAGGGTACAAATTATTCGTCAGATAAATTATCCTCATCATTGATAAAACCGCCGTATTCATATATTGCCCTGATAACAATGGCAATATTACAATCGCCACAAAAGAAATTAACACTCAGTGGTATTTGTGAATTTATCATGACCAGGTTCCCTTATTATCACGACAAATTTCCCGCCTGGCAAAATTCAATTAGGCATAATTTATCGTTGAACGATTGTTTTATAAAGATTCCAAGGGAGCCGGGAAATCCGGGCAAGGGAAATTATTGGACATTGGATCCACTTGCTGAGGATATGTTTGATAATGGGAGTTTTTTGAGGCGACGAAAACGTTATAAGAGGCCACCACCTCACTATGTTTTGCGAGATCGAGCAATAATGGCGACATTCGCTATTTGTGGTGGTGATAGGAGTTCGTGTACTGGTGGAGGTCATCCTGGTGGTATACCGTATCCTTATTTAGCGACACCATCGGGATTGCCGCTATTGGACTTTCCATCGTCGGCATTGGATGCGTTGAAGTTGAGAAATTTTTTGGAACCACCGCCACCGCTTTATAAGCCAGTGGCAATAACTGCGCCGCCATCAATTAGGCAAATTAATCCTGTACCGAGGACATCGATGCCTAGTAGTGCTAATACTGCGTCGTCTGTTGTTATTGATAAGAAGAGGAGTTTCAGTATTGATGCATTAATTGGAAAACAAGTTGGTAGCGAACAAAATGTTGTTGGTGGATTGCTTGATTTGAGTCCGTCGGAACATCGGGAAATTAGAAGTCAAGCGTCGGCATTTTCACCGTTGATTTAAAGCGGATTTTTTATACTGTAACGAATTTCTTTTGTTTTTTTTCCTTTTTGTTCTTCTTCGAGCTTTTTTTGACTTTCGATATTTATTTATTTCTCTCTTTTGTTCTTTCATTCGTTTTTCCTCTTGTTCTCGTTTTTCTTTGTTTTTTCTGGTTTTTTTTTGTCTTCTCTTTTTTTCGCTTCCTTTCGTATTTTTTCTCTATTTTTCGCCTTTTTCTCTTTTTTGGTTTTTTCCCTTTTTTCGTTTCCTTCCTCTTTTTTCTTTTTCTTCCCCTTTTTTCGTTTTCTTTCTCCGTTTTCTTTTTCCTTTTTGAAAAGGGTCGAGTGATAAACTGGATTAAAAATAATTTACAATATTGGAAAATAATGCAAAAAAAAAGGAGAAAATGGTAGATCGTTAATCTGATTTATCATTAATAATTTATACACTAACAAATTTATTTTGTTCTAACAATATTTCAGAGATTTCAGAATTCAAATTTTCTATTATTATTTATTTTATTTTTAATAATTTTATCTACTAAACTTTGGTAATTTATTTTAATTCAATTTCAATTTTGAATACAATTTTCAATACAATTTTGAAAAAATTAATTAAATAATAAATAATAATATAAAGAAGAAAGCAATCGACAGTTTTGTTCTGCTGGTAAAATAATAAATTTCAAAAATAATCTATATTAATAATCATTGAAATTACGGTAATTTACTCGTTTACTTTTTGGTTTCCTAAATTTTTAAATAATTTTTCTTTCCAATTGTTTTTCATTTTTAAATTAATGTATTGAAAACCATTGAATGAATTCTTGCAAAGAACTTTATCAAGAAAATTAAAAATAATTGAATTTCTTTGAAGAATTTTATTATTTTAGAAAATAATTGAATTATTGACAAACATTTTCTTCAAAAAATTTTTAAATAATTGAATTTTTTTCGAATAATTTTATTATTAATGAAAATAATTGAATTCTTGTAAAGGATTTTTGCAAAAAATTTAAAATGAATTGAATTCCTTCGAAGAATTTTAATATTTATGAAAATAATTGAATTCTATCGAAAAAATTTATTATTTATGAAAATAATTGAATTTTTGACAAAAATTTCATCTAAAGTTCGAAAAGAATTGAATTTCTTTGAAAAATTTAAATATTTCTGAAAATAATTGAAATCTTGTAAAGAATTATTAAAAGACATTTGAAAATAATTGAATTCTATCGAAGAAATTTTATTATTTTTGAAAATAATCGATGTTTTGCAAATATTCTATCAATAGTTCGAAAAAAATTGAATTCATTCGAAAAATTTTATTATTTCTGAGAAAATAATTTAATTATTGTAAAGATTTTTAAAAAAACATTTGAATATAATTGAATCCTATCGAAGAAATTTATTCTTTTTGAAAATAATTGATGTTTTGCAAGTATTCTATCAAAACTTCGAAAAAAATTGAATTCCTTTGAAAAATTTTATTATTTATGAAAATAATTGAATTCTTATAAAGAATTATATTAAAAAAATTTGAAAATAATTGAATTTCTATACGAAAAATTTTATTGTTTTGGGAAATAATTGAATTGTTGTGAAGAATTTTATTTAAATTTTCGAAAATTCCAATTAAATTCTTTTGAACAATTTGTTTTAATTTTTTGGCAAATAATGGAGTTTTTTTTAATAATTTTAATTGAAAATTTTGAAAGTAATTGAATTTTATGAAGAATTTCTTTCAAGTTTTTTAAATAATTGTGTTTAATTGAAACAAAACATTTGATTATTGTGACAATTTATAATTTTCATAAAGTAATTAAACTCTTCTCAGAATTTTGTTACAATTTATGAAAATAATTTAATTCATTCAAAGAATTTCATGAAAATATTGAAAATAATTGAATTCTCTCAGAAAATTTCTTTAATTTTTTGAATATAATTAATTTTGTTAATAATTGTAATTAATAATTTGACTCTTAAGTTTTAATAAAATTATTGATAGATAATTAAATTTTTCAAAAGTTTTTTGAAAAAAATGATATTTATAAATTGAATAATTTTTAATTGAAAATTTTGAAAATAATTAAATTAAAATTAAACAAAATTTTTTTTAACTTTTTAAAATAATTGTGTCTGTTAATAATTATTTATAATATTATTTATAAATTTTATTGAAATTAATTGAATTTATGAGAAGAATTTTATTATTTATAAAAATTATTGAATTGTTTAGAAGAATTTATTAAAATTTTAGAAAATAATTGAATTTTTTCGAAAAAGTTGATAGAAATTTTTTTAAAAAAATTAAATTTTATCAAGATATTTATTAAAAATTAAAATAGTTCAAGTCCTCCGAAGAAATTTATTATCCATTAAAATAATTGAATTCTTTCAAAGATCGTTATTATTTATGAAAATAATTGAATTTTTGAAAATAATAAACAATAATAAGTGGATTTAGAAAAATTTGAATTTAAAATTATTGAAAAATTGAAATTTACATTTAAAAATAAAAAATTTTGTAATTTGCGTAAGAATAATAAATTAAATATCGTGTAACATTTTCTAGTTAGATAATAAATTGTAAAATTTGTTTTGAGAACGAAATTTTGCAATAACGATAACAATAAAAATTTGTTAGTTGTATATTAAACAATTATTTTCTTCCTGTAGATTTTTCTTTTTATTTAAATTCAAAATTTTTCTTATTTCTATTCGCTTTGTTAACGAAAACATCGAAAACAGTTCACAAACTATAATAAAAAAGAATTCATTTATTTATTTCAATTAAAATAGTTAAAGAACAATATTAATGATCCTAAAGTTCTGAGCATTGAAATGAAGAACAAAATTGATTTATTTCTCCTTGAAATTAAATTTTCATTTTTTCAGAATTATATTTTCCGTCACTTTTAAGAAAATTAATTATAAAATTTCTAAATGTAAAATTTAAGTCTTTAACTTTTATTGCAAGCAGTAAATTTGGAAAATATTTGTAATAAAAAGTATTTTGTTTATTGGAAAGTTTAAACCTTGTTATAAAAATGATAAGAAATTAAACGAGTAAAAATACTATACGAAAACTTTTGTTCTAAATTAGCAAAAAAATTTTGGAAAATAAATTATTTTCGTATTAAAATAATATCGATGACAAAAATTTATTTTTCAATTAGGTAAATTGGAAAATTATTAAAAGATTAATACAATATTTCCTTCTCTTTTAATTAATTTCAGTATTTTAATTTATTTTAATTAACACACGAAGCAGAAATAATTATATAGAAATATATTTTATTTTGGTGAATGATTTCTGCAATTTTGCATTATTTTCCAATACCAAACAATTTTTATTTTTAATCCACAAAAATGGAGCCAGAAATAAAATTGCAATGATACTTTTCATATAAATTTAAATAAAATCACAAAGCAATCTACTGGTTTAATTTAATACCATAATTTCCAATATTTATCTCTGGCTCTTCTCAACTTTCGAAAAGTATTTGAAACCAAAGCATTTTCTGAAAAAGAATTAATTTCCTTTTCTTCTATTTTTCTTTGAAAAATTCTAACGCAAATAGATACCAAAAAAAAAGAAGAAATGAATTTGTTAATTTATTTTTGTTACATAGCATATATAAATATAAATATAAATATAAATAATATATATACAACATTTAAGTTGAAAATTTACAATTAAAAAATACAAAAAGTGCAATATGTCCTGAATGTTGAAACTCATAGGATCCGTCTTTAAATTGAATGTCCTTTAAAAAAAACCAAAATGTAAGATTGTACATTTTTGAACAATTGTGACTAGAACTTAACATTATTTTTTTCAAACATGTGTAATATAATGTCCAAAAAAATATTATTTTATATATAATATTCAATGACATGAAAAATATTTTCCCCTCACTTTTTTGTTTTTTATATTAATAAAATCGTGTGGGGAAAAAAAATTCTAGTAATTTTCGTTTCGAGAAAAAGAAAATATTCGATGTTTTTTTTACTTATAGCTTATAAATATGTTTTTTAACTAATTTCTTTTTATACCAAAATTTTTTTAAAATAACAGAGTGTCTAACAATCAGAGAAAAGTAATGAAATTGATTTTCGTCTTGAAAAGTCATGAAATTTCTTTAATTTCTTGGAATTATGAAAAAAACTTCTTTTATTTTATAAGTTTTGAAAAATGAAATATTTTTTATTTATTTCATATATTTTTAGCTTTTATCAGACCTCGGATCGAATTAAAGACGCAAAAATCGATTCAAAGTACGGAAAAAGTTAATTTTATTCTGATTTCCAGAAAAATTGTTTACTTTTTCACCTCGGATCGAATTTAAAACGTAAAAATCGATTCAAAGTACGAAAAAAAATGTTTTATTTTATTCTGATTTCCAGAAAATTTTTTTACTTTTCCCCTTGTTCAATTCAATTATTTTCAAAACATTTTTTTTACATTTTTATTCAAAAATACGATTATTTTCAAATAATTGTGAATAAAATTCTTTGAAATATAAAATTTATTTTCATAAAATTGCATAAAATTCAATTATTTAAAAAATTAAGAATATTTACTTGAAATATAATTTAAAAATTAATTGTTTTCAATTTACAAACTTCCGATTACTCGAAAAAGTGGCAGAAAATTTTAAGAGACTTTAGAGAAAAAGATTTGACTTAAGTTATATTCCACTCTTTGAAAAAGGGGCACAACTTGTAAATTTGTTAGACACACTGTCGTTTTTATTTAAATTTGAAAAATTAATCAGTTAATTGAATTTTTTTCTATAATAAATAGAGTTAACTGTAATATTGTTCTACAAATATACAATTTTATTGTATTTTTTCTGCAAAACCTTCAAATAACTGTATTTTTTCTAGAGTAAATAATATTAACTGTAATTTTTTCTACAAAAATTACAATTAACTGTATTTTTTTCTACAAAAATTGCAATTAACAGTATTTTCTTCTCTATAAATTGCAATTAATTGAATTTACTCCACAAAAACTGTGATTAATTCTATTTTTTCCTACAAAAACTTCAAATTGTATTTTTTTTCCAAAAATTGCAAATAATTACATTTTTTCTTTTAAAAAAATACAATCAAC